ATATAATGTTCTATATGAATGCAAATAAGATTTACAGTCATGTTTGGTTTCATTTGAATAGTGTCAGGGTGAGTGGTACAATGGTCTTAATCTTACTAAAAGATAATACAGATCCTAAGAGTTAAGAGATACTTTGATTACCGTAGAGGGTCATTCCATGCAAATTACCTTCTGTTCCCATTGAGGTGTAAAACCACCCAGGTCTGAGACCTGGGTTAATGTAAATTACATGTCTCCATTTGGAGTATGTCTTATCTTGGTTTTGTATTTAAAGGATTGTAGCAAAAGGGTCGGCGCGATTCTGTAGTCAGAGAGCCCGTAGTATGGAGTGTCTCCACACACTCTGTACTATGTATTTTCTAAAAGGTCAGGTATGCATTTTACTCTTAGATTTGTCTATGAGAATTTGATGTATCGTATTGATTTGATATCGTTGAATTGGCTATGGAGATAATTGGAATAATACACATTTACCTGACTGTTAATAAATTGTTACATTTGATCTATTCTGACTTACTCTGAAATTATTTTCTCAAGTAGATTAAGTGAAGGTTTATGTTTCCACAAAGCTGTGTCCAGGGTTGAGTACACACTAAATCTCAGGTTTAGATGGAGCATGGGGCCCATCAGGTGAGATTCTAGATTTCTGACTAACCGCTTGACCTTATAGTTTAAGTTGTACTCAGTTACGGTAACCATGTATATGATTTCAGAGTTAATTAAGTTGTACGAAGCTATATTAGCTGTCGGGGTCTAGACAAAGAGGGTCTAGAAGAACCGCTGATTAATACTTTGAGTGTTAATTAAGTTGTACGTAGCTATATTAGCTGTCGGGGTCTAGACAAAGGTGGTCTAGAAGAACCGCTGATTAATGTTTGAGTATTACATGGGTAACTGTAGGGGGCTAAACAGACCTACTATTTAAAGTATATTAAATAGTATTAGCCACAAAACCTCTGGCTAAGGGTCAGACTGGCGAGTTTGTGATCGTGGAGCCCACGCGTAGCGGCCGCCGTGAGGCATCCTAAATGACATAGATTCCTAATCAACGAGTAAAATATAAGTAAAGAGTTAACTAGAATAATCAAATGTCAGAATAATTAGAGACCGACAAACAACCAATTTGCCTTTCAACCTACATTCGAGGTCATACTAAAATGGAGTCAGATTAGATAATAAAATGGAGTCAGATTGAGTTAAATCTAAATTGAATAACTCTGCGCGCTGAAAAGACCGAACACGCAAGAGACCTTCATCCGCCACTGGATACCTTCCTTGGGCCATGTGCGCGGACCTTACAACAGATTATAATCATTGGAAAATCACTGAATCAAATCTTCATACTATGATGCATCAATAATTGGCTGTCCTGTCTTTTTCAGTTGTTATAGCTGGACATGCATTATTTAACAGCACCTCAGTTCAGACTGTTCATCGAGGAATGTCAGTCAATATCAGCTGTAAATAAACCATCAAATGACAGTGAAAGTTTCATAGTGGAACTGCAAACTAATAGTAAATTGTGCTCAGTAATGAAAGTGAAAAATTAATGAATAAAACACCTATGCAAAAAATCACTGTAGATTCATTTGGATTCTAGAAACATTAGGCATTTGAGGTATCAAATCTGCAGATAAATGATACTGGAACATACAAATGTGTTGGTATGACAAGATTCATACCACCTCCTTCTGTGATTTTGAGAGAAGAAAGAACGTTTGTCCAAGTGATTGGTAAGTTTATTATGACTAAAAACAGAAATCACAATGACAAGTGATTTTAGCATACATTGTAAACAGTGTATCATGCGTAGTGTGCTCTTGATAAATGAGCATTTTATTATAACTGTCTTATATTTCTTTTAGTACAGCCCACTGTGTCTCTGTCACATTAAAAAGAGTATTGGGTGGATTTCCCATGATGCTTTGCCGCTCTGAGGGGTTTTACCCTTCCGCTCTAGACCAGATGTGGATTAGAAATGGAGAATTTCAGAACTCCTCTCTCACATACAGCATTAACAAAACCAACCCAGATAGATCATTCTCCCTCCATTCATACCTGAATATATCTGACTGTGTGAACTACTCGTGTTGGGTAAACCACTCATCCCTGAGCCAACCAACAATACTCCACATGACTCCTACTGAAAGTTACAGGAACAGAGGTATTACATATAATTTTATTTAAAGCACATAATAACAATAAATACCATAGTGTATCTCATGAATAGTTCTGTTACAAAATTAGATTGCAGTAATTTATAGATGAAAATGGATGGATAATTCTGGTGACCTCAGCGCTGATGATTCTCACCATACTGATTATCATGGTTGTGTGTGAGCGTTCCAGTGAGTTTAACATTTGATCTCCAACACATAGTGTCTGTTTTTATCAGTTTAAATCTTAGTGACCAGAGTTATTACTCTCTTTATATGGAATCTTTAGCACAACAGAATAGATATTAGTGAAATCTAACTAACAAACAAACACAAATATTATACAAATACTATAATAATCAGAATTACACTGATTTTTCTCATGTTCATCCAGGAAGAGCACATCACAGGTCTCCTGTAAGAATGAATGTCACACCTGAATCTGATCTCCATTCTCACCTGGAGTATGAAATGTATTCAATGTTGGGTGACCATCGTCTAGTCCCATGCAGCCCTGTCAGAGTTCGCTCATCTCCACAATAAACTCCAAATGAAGACATTTTACATTGATAGATTTCCTGACCCATTTCTATCTTATTCACTAACCTGATACCAACTTGTGTATATAATATAGATATATAATTTATACATGATTATTTAATCATGTATAACTTTGGCTGTATATATGATGACATTGACAAAATATATGACACATATCATTAGGCCTGTGTTCTTTACCAGCTTCAGCACTTAAAATCCAATTAAATGGCTTGCTGAGTGTATTTTCTTTCCTGTGCTGGCTTATTAAAAAATGACTTTATGTCACATGTACATTCTTTGCATGTTTACCCTTGACCTATCAACTTTGCATGTAGACACTGTGTGTTTAAAATAGCCACATAACGGTTTTCTGAATACTTTGGGAATAAAATATACATGAAATGACTTGACCACGATTAGCTGTAATAAGCCTGTAACATGAAATATATGAATTGACAATTATGAAGGAGTACAAATGTAGTACAGGTAAATATATGTTTTTTGCATAGTTCTGAGATTAAATTTAAACCAGTTTGCTTGAAGATCTTCAGTCAAAGGGCATTCAACTTGAGGAACCTCGGTTACATTGAATGGCTGGTATACTGTCCCATTTAGAGTCTTAAGCATTCTTTTAAAATTGATAAAATTTCATGGCCAAATTATAAATATATGTATCAATCTAACACTTTATGTGAAAAGTTAGTAAATCAAATGTGTTAGATCCATTCTTCTCTCTCTCTCTCTCTCTGTCAGGATGTGCCAGATTTTGGTCTGATATTCAAAGCAGTCAACCTTGGTATTTTAACTCATCTAGTTTTACAAGAGATACAAATAAAGAAAGATTAGCAAGCATGAGTGATAAAATAACTGAATAAAGTTTACTGAATAACCTTTGTTGCATCCTCTTTATGATCAGTCTGCCTTTGTCTGACCAGCAGTTCCACAACTGTTATTTTACAAAGCAAATACAATGAAAAATTGCTGCTTCCTAACATAGTCTTGTGATGTGAAAATCCTCAAGATTACAATACACAACACAAAATTATAACAATAGTTAATAATTCATATGAAAAGTAATAAGTACATGAATGTTAATTATATTAAGAAATTAGTATATAAAGAAAAATAAAGTATATAAAAGAGATAAAGACTAATGTGAATTGAGACGTTTGTAATTGTCATCCAGATGTCGTGCCAAAGTGTTTAAATCCTGAAAAAATTCACTGTTGTCAACACATATATTACATGAATGTAAGTAATATAAATAAACAAACAAATAAAGTTACTAAACATATGTTACCTACATCATTTGTCCTTTTGAACAATACTGTTGATAAATTGAGGTGCATCTGTGTTGGATAAAAAGCAACTACCTCAACATTTAAATATAGTTTTGAGCACATAAATCAGGTAAGTTGAATCATGTCTGGATGTTACAGGGACAGATGAGCACACCTGTATTTATCTGGTGGAGAGTGACTGCCACCACAAAAGTAATAAAGCTACAACAAAAATTAGCACGTAATAAAGTGAACATGATTTGTGAAACGTTTTAACCTGTGTTTTACAGGTATTCATGCTCATGGAGAGCAGGCACACAAATTTTTGGAGCAGACACAGTGGCAGCTAGATTGTCTCCCACTCTTGCTTCAAGGTTGTGGGGTTCAAGGGGCTGTCCTCATGGTCTTCCTCATCCTCTGGCTCAACGATGTCCCCATTGAGAAGAGCGAGATTGTGAATCACAGCGCAGCACGCAACCTCAGGCACAAAGGCAGGGCTCACCTCTAAGGCCTTGAAGAAAACAGAAGGTCAGCGTGTTTTCAGCATGCCAAAGGCTCATTCTACTATGCTTCGTGCACAGGAGTGCTTGTTGTTGAAACGAGCCTGCATAGGGTTCTGTACAGGCTCTCTGTATGGGCTGATGAAGCAGATGGGTGCACTCAGGCAAGGACAGCCTCGATGTCCCTTTCCCATCCATGATCAGATTCCAATCTGACTGCAGCAATGAGGGACGGCAAAGACAGGTGAAGGTGGGCACGGTGGTCCGCTGCTTCATCAAAATAAAGCCACAGAATTGGCACAGCTGTGTCGAGATGACAGTGGGGTGTGGGGTTCAACACCTGTAAATACATGATTGTTAGAACAATAAGTTTGAATAAAGCTTTGTTTCATGTGTTGTTGACTTGCATATGAAAGTGAAAAAGTAACGTGACGTGTAGACAAGTACAAGGACAGCCTCGATGTCCCTTTCCCATCCATGATCAGATTCCAATCTGACTGCAGCAATGAGGGACGGCAAAGACAGGTGAAGGTGGGCACGGTGGTCCGCTGCTTCATCAAAATAAAGCCACAGAATTGGCACAGCTGTGTCGAGATGACAGTGGGGTGTGGGGTTCAACACCTGTAAATACATGATTGTTAGAACAATAAGTTTGAATAAAGCTTTGTTTCATGTGTTGTTGACTTGCATATGAAAGTGAAAAAGTAACGTGACGTGTAGACAAGTATGGTGTCCCATACTTGGAATTTGTGCTCTGCATTTAACCCATACAAGTGCATACACACAGCAGTGAGTAGTGAAGACACACACACACACACACAGATTGTGAACACACATCCAGAGTAGTGGGCAGCCATTTTTGCTGTGGCACCCAGGGATTTACAAAGCTCATCGGTCTGAAAAAGCAAGGTGTGCTCTGATTGGCCAGCTATCCAGTGCATTGTGATTGGTCGAATTCCTCAAGCGTGTGAAATGTTACGTCCCTTACCATATTGCTATGCCTGCGGCAACCACATGTGACGCCCCCGGGCTGGACTCCACTTCGTCCACGGTGAAAGCCGATCCGGCGATCGACAGCTCGAAGTTGATGTATTTCCTCAGCGACCAGCACAGATCAGCTCTAGTCATGACGAAGCGGATATCGTCCTCTTTTGGAAGACCAAACAAAGTAGTTTCGCGATGCCTGCAGCAACCACATGTGACGACCCCAGGCTGGACTCCGCTTCGTCTACGGTGAAAGCCGATCCGGCGATCGACAGCTCGAAGTTGATGTATTTCCTCAGCGACCAGCACGGATCAGCTCCAGGCATGACGAAGCGATATCGTCCTCTTTTGGAAGGCCAAACAAAGTAGTTTCGCTTTCACAACGAAGCACACAGCGCCTTCACGACATGGCGGCGGCAACAATACTACAGCGAGAATAAAAGTTACGCCTTCTTTCTTTGCGTGAACATTTGGGCGGCGTTATGCAAATCTTCCCAGATATTGACGTAGGTACCGTATGTGGGGGCGTGTTAGAATGAGCCGTTTTAGGTAGGTGTGGCTGACTCTTAACTTTTATAAAGAATATCTCTTTGGATTTGAGACTTTAGTCTTTGCAACTTTACAGATCTTCTTTATGCACCAAGAGCTTGTAACACTCCAAAGCAAAAGGAACATTTGAAATCGCATCATGTGACCCCTTTAATGGAAATGTCAGGACTCGGGTTTGATCTCCCTCTAGTTTCCTTTTTTTTCTCTTTGTTTTTATTGTTGTAGTTTTTGCCAGTGTGTTCTATTCCTTTGCCGCTCACTAGTTTTTTTATTTTCTTGTTCAAGTCTTGTTATTTAGTTTGTTTTGTTTTTCTCATGAGTTTCTTTCTGAAGTCCTCTTTTTCTTCAGATCTCACTCATGGACTGTGTGATGCTGATCTAATGAACTGTTACTGACTCTGGAGTTTGGATTTCCCCGGGGTTTCTGTTCGCCTTTTTGGATTGCCTCATTGTTATGATCATCTGCCTGTTCTGGACTGTGAGTTTTAGATTGCCTGGATTGATTTGTCTGCACTTTGCCTGACCTTCTGTCACCCTTTTAGTTGTCAAGGACCCCTTGTTTCTGTGTTTTCCTGTCTTCTGTTTTGTTTTAGTTCCTGCGTGCCCTTATTTGGTTATGTTCCTGGTCTCGTTGAGCCTTATTAGTTTATCTCAGTCACCTGTGTTTAGTTAATAAGCGCTGAAATCCGCCTCCCTTCCTCCGTATCCAGCTCCCAGACCCAGTCCTATTCTAAGCCAAGTAAAAGCGCCAGCCGCTTCGCTCTCAAGCCCACCGGCCGCTTCACTTTCAAGCCCGGTGATAACCACAGCTCAAAAGAGGAGGATGAGACGGTTCATTGCGGCTCCAGCCCCTGACCAGAGTCCAGTGCAGGCTCCAGCCCCTGACCAGAGTCCAGTGCAGGCTCCAGCCCACGAGCTCGGTCTAGTGCCCACTCTCGCCTCAGAGCTCTGTCAGAATCCCGCTCAAATCCATGGATCCGCTCCAGAGTTTGTTCCTAGTCCAGAGTCCGCTCCAGAATGCTCCACAGAGCTCAACTGGGAGCCCACTCACGTCACAGAGCTCAACCAAGAGTCAAGCCCTCCTAAGTCTCCTGAATCTCCGCTGGTTCCGTCCAGCTCTCCTGAGTCTCCTGAATCTCCTCTGGTTCCGTCCAGCTCTCCTGAGTCTCCGCTGGTTCTGTCCAGCTCTCCTGAGTCTCCTGAATCTCCGCTGGTTCCGTCCAGCTCTCCTGAGTCTCCGCTGGTTCTGTCCAGCTCTCCTAGTACCACTGAATCTCCGCTGGTTCCGTCCAGCTCTCCTGAGTCTCCTGAATCTCCGCTGGTTCCGTCGAGCTCTCCTGACTCTCCTGAATCTCTGCTGGTCCCAGCCAGCTCTCCTGCATATCCCGAGTCCCAGAAAGGTCCGCCCAAACCTCCTTCGTCAGCCAGCTCTGCTCCTCCAGAGCTCACTCCAGAACCCATCTTGGCCTGGAGACGCCTAGTTTCCCCCAATAAATTTTTGTGGGGGGGGGCATATGCCTGTGGCCAATGTTCCCTCTGAGCACCACGGCCGCGCAATAGAAATAATGTGCCACGCACACGCATAAATGAGGTGGTGAAAGCCATTTGCGAAAGCGAATGAATTGCAATGCTCGGGTAAACCGCTAGAGTTGATATCGCTATAGAGTTAGAACTGGTGAATGCGGTTTACAGGTTTCATTGAAAGAGAATGAAGTGCGTCAAATGAGTCGCTGTAGAAACCGAATATTTTAATGGTTGCGGACGAAATAGCTCAAATCGAGAGCAAACGCAATGACATGTGAGATGGACACAGTATGGTAACAAAGCTCAGAGACATTTACAGTCACACACAGGTGTATTGTGCAAACTGTACTTCATAGGGATGTTTAGATAGCTATAGAAGAGTTCACGTGTTTTTTTTTTGTTTGTTTTTTTTATATTTAACTTACAGATCTCAGTTCAAATGCTTCAGTTAATTTTCTATTCTATCAGTTTAAATGCTTCAGTTTGTTATGATATTATATTATGTTAGGCCTATATTATAAACCTAATAAATAATTGACCTTGTTTTTTTAATGTAGTCTCTTATGCTCATCAAGGATGTATTTATTTGATCGAAAATACAGAAAAAAGACCAGTAATATTGCGAAACGTTATTGCAATTTCCAATATTGGTTTCCTATTTTAATATACTTTAAAATATAATTTATTCCTGTGAAGCAAAGCTGAATTTTCAGCATCATTACTCCAGTCTTCCGTCAGTGTCATATGATCCTTCAGAAATCATTCTAATATGCTGATTTATTATCAGTGTTGAAACTGTTGTGCTGCTTAATATTTTTTTTTTGGAACCTGTGATACTTTTTTCTTTGATTTATTTTATTAATAAAAAGTTAAAAAGAACAGCATTTATTCAAAATATAAATATTTTCTAAAAATATAAGTCTTTACTATTACTTTTTATGAATTTAACACATCGTTGTAAAATAAAAGTATTAATTTATTTCAAAAAATGAGAAAAGATACTGACCCCAAACTTTTGAAAGGTAGTGTATTGTTAAAAAAAGGATTTCTATTTTAAAGAAACGCTGTTCTTTTTTTTTTTTAAACTCTTTATTCAAAGAATCCTGAAAAAAGAATCACAGGTAATATATATATATACACTGAACAAAATTATAAATGCAACACTTTTGTTTTTGCCCCCATTTCTCTTCATGGATGAATCCCGGTTTTCACTGTACAGGGCAGATGGCAGACAGCGTGTATGGCGTCGTGTGGGTGAGC